GCATGAAGAGGAGCATGGGACATGAGCAACAGGAAACCATGAATTCAGGAACCTTGTGACTCTGGAAATAATGGAATAATAATAAAGGTGGCTGAGAGTGAAGCTTTTGAGTTGATATCTTGAAACAGCATTCCTCCACTGTCTCTCATGACCGAAGCGGGAGAAGGTTAGATTCTGTCAGAGAGTGAGGACACCAAGAAGCAAAGAAACAAAGAGGATTTGAATTCTCTATATGGAGCCAGGAGTTAGGGGAGATACCTCCTGGGTAGATTTGACCCTTGCTCTGGGGTCAAGCAGGCCACAGGCTGAGTCATCAGTGTCTTGCATGACACCTGTATTCCAGGAACTTCTGACTTACGTGCAGGCCATTCTCATGCCAAGGAATGAGACTTTAGGTACCTATAAGCAGATCACAGAGCCACAGCTAGAATTCTGTGGATAGACAAGAACTATTAAAATGTTATCTCTTCCAAGGAGTTAATAGAAAATGGGAATTAGGTACACTGCTTTGAAGCAGTGGACTAGGAGGTAGAAAGAATAACAAAGAAGTGGGAGAGGAGTCTAAGGGGGGATGGGAAGGAGGGGAGGGAGGAGGGGTGGTAGGGAGAACTGTGATTGGAATGTAAAATGACATCAAAAATTAAAAAGAAGGGGAGGTTGTGGACTGTGTTGTCAAGAGTTGGCTGTATGCAGTTGGATGAAAGTGAATTCATATCTCAACTTAGAAACATGCATGTGAAGTGCTGGGGCACTTGTTGCTTGGGGTTCTTTGCATGCATGTTGAATTGACTGACTGACACTACCTTCACAAAGATATTGCAAAGAATACAGATTTTTCACTAGTTTTGGGGAAGGATGGGAGTGGAGAGCCCTACACATGAGCTCTACAACCTTTGGGCAGTAGGAACAAGCCACATCATAGAGCAGAGTTGGAAAGGGTGAACACTTGTAGTTATCTGCCTCAAGAAAGAAAAGAAAATGGTAATTAGGTACAGCAAAATATTGCTAAGCAGAGTCAACAGCCCATTGATAATGGCTAGCACCATTTGTGATGCCACTATCCTGAGGAGCCCACAAGATTATTTTTCCAAAAGATTTCTAACTAGACAGATAATGAGCAGAGGACCTGTGGGAAACAGGGCAGGTGATGGAGTGGTGTTGAGTCAGGAACACGGACTCACACATGGAAAGAGATGAAACCAAAAAGGTCTTAGAAGACTGGAAGCTATACCAAGACTATTTCAAGAATACCAGAGTGATGGGGACAGGAAGGAATTGTTTCAGAACTCAGTTAGGTCTGTGGATAAGAAGCACAGTGAAGTCCTGGATTAGAGAGAAGATGGAAGAGCAAGAGCATGAGGAATATGGGACACCAAGAGGGTATGACCAGGAAAGATGTGTTAGCTTGAGGAGCAAAGGGAGGTGATTGGGAGTGGCAGGAATTTGGACTGGGATCATCACAAACCAGATGCCACTGTCATGGAGTTTAGCTTGTGATGCAGAGAACATTTAGAGACTTGGACAGCTAAGTGATGCAAAGAATATGAAAGCCTACATTACTCTTTATCCATTTTGGTCCTCTATTTCAGTATCATAGAGTGACTATAGATAATTAGGTAGAGTCTTCAAGGCTCCTAATATGGAAATTTCTCTCTGTCTCTGTCTCTGCCTCTGTGTGTGAGAGTACGAGTGTATGAATGTATGAGTGTGTGAGTGTGTGCATGTGAGTGTGTTAGTGTGTGGTGTCTTATTGGGGATTGAAATCAGTGCCTTGTGTATGCTAATGATCCAGTAATCCATATGTTCAGTCCCACTATAAAATTTTTAAAGGAACAGTGGATACTTTCTCTAACTCTGGAGTTCCAGGATGGAGCATAGCTCACATATTGATACCGAAGCTGCACAATGAATTTCATTATTCCATGAAATTCATAATCAGCTTTCATGAAGCCATTAAGCTTTTGTAACCACTTTCCCAAATCACAAACGACTGCTAAGCTCCTAAAATTTTAGAAGTCTTAATTTATGTAAAACAAAATTTTAAGACAGTCAAGACTTCCTTCCAAAGCAGAGAAGTCAGTTGTATGTTGATATTGTTCTTCATTCAGAATTCAGTAAATATTCACTGAATAGCAAGTGTGTGCCAGGCACCATTCCATACATTGGGAAAAACAGTGAGGGAAAAAGAAAACAAGCCCCAAGTTGAGGAAGCTCAGTTCTAAGGGAGAAACGCAGAAAGTCAGTATAAAAAATAATAGGTGTTACTTTCAGGGGGAAGTGAAGTGAAGTATGAATTAGGGTAGATGTTTCCAGGGGTGCTGGCAAACAGCTGCTTTCCATAGCGTTCAGACATCACTGGTGGCAAGAGGCCTTTAGCAGGGAGCTGATGCAAAGGAGCCAGCAATGGGTAATCTGGAGGCAGTGTGGGTATAGAAATAAAATGATAAAGGGATGATGGATCTCCAACAAGATCAATTTAGTAGAGAGGATGAGAACGAGGTCAATGTCTATCCTGCAGTCCAGAGAACAAGCCACAGCATTATCCAAATTCTGATGTATTTTAACATTTGTATCATCCCAATGATAATTCCAGTTTCAAGGGCTACATAGTGGTTAAGAACAGACTTTGAGAGATGGGGACACATCTCTGTCAGTGCACAAGAAACATGCCATGTTTGCTCTCTAGTACTGCACAAAGAAGATAGTGACTTTAGGTGAATTTAGATTCTGACCTATGGGGCTGAAGAAATGGTTCAGCAATTAAGCGCATTTGATGATCTTCCAAAGGATTGGAGTTCAATTCTCCCATAATGTGATTCAGAACCATCTATACTCAAGTTCTGCAGCACCTGTTGCCCTCTTTTGCCACAGGAATGCAAGTGGGGCATAGGTACATGTGCAGGCAAAACAAACAAACAAACAACAACAACAACAAAACACAGACACATAAAATATAATGAAATAATTTAAAATAAAAAGTTAATTCAGACCCATTTAAGCTGTTTGCCTTGGTAAACCTCCACACACCAGTCATCCTGACATACCTTATAACCCATGATACAGTAGTAATAATAATAACTGCCTCATACTGTTGTAAGGATTAAGAGACAGGCTAGTTAGTCATAGGGAGATGATAGTTAAGGAAATCTTAATATATACAAAGTGCTTCTTACAGAATATAATTCAATTGCCACCTCTACCACCTCATTGCATTGTATGGGGAAATAAAACCCTCTAGTTTTATTCCCTTAATGATTACTGTTGGTTCTGAGTATGAGATAATTTTACCAACTCTACGGGAAGCAACTTGTTGATTTTTCGTCATGAGCTCAACAGAAATGACAGCCTGAATGTCAGTTCCAAGTGAACCTGTGAAACTCACTGACTGCAATAGTTTTAAGGGGCATGGCTGATTTTTACAGGGTTTCCCACAGGGCTCCTACTGAATATAAGCGAAAGGCATGCCGTGGAATGTTATCCAACCAGGTGAATTTTTTCCTACAAAAAATTATGATCCTGCATGTGCACACACAGGCACACACACACACACACACACACACACACACACTTACTTTAGTTGTTTAAAGGCAAAAAATCTTATATTTTACCATAGGTGTAAAAAAAAAAAACAAAGAAAATCTTCTCCCTACTCCTCCTAAGTCAGATTTTTAAAAATGCAATAGAGTTGACATAGTGGTTATAAGGCAACAATTATGGACAGAAAATATCTTTTAACATTTTTACATTTCTGATTTCACATTTTAACTTAAAGTTCATGACATTAAAATTTGCCTAAAACATTTCTAAAGTAACTGTTCAGGATGTTCTGTAGGGAAAAAATGAGGAAATTATTGAATTTCTTTGTAAAGAAACCCATGGTTTCCTAAAGCACACAAAGTTGTTGCCAAGCATCTCTACACAGTGCCTCCTTGGAAAATAGCAGTGTCCAAAAATAAGCTTTGTGTAACACTTGAAGTTGTGCAAATTTAAACCTATGTACATATTATTCACTGTGAGTCAAATGAAATTATTAAGCAACTGTAGCTAACATTTGTATTAGCTGGCTACTAGAAATTTCTGAAATGAAATGAATTTCATTTATCATGTGCCTTGTATAAAAGAAAGCAAATACTATGATCTATTTATTAAATAAATTAAATTTATTGCATAAAATTTACAAATGTACTCCTGAAGTTTAAAACATGGATCACCCTGTCCCTGTCCCTCCCTCCCTCCTTCCCTCCGTCCCTCCCTCCCTCCCTCCCTCTCTCTCACACACTCTCTCTCTCCTTCCTTCCTTTTCTTTTTGTTAAGACAGTGTCTCACTATGTAGACCAGACTTTGATTCACAGAGATCAACCTGCTTCTGCCTTATGACTGTGGAATTAAAGATATGTGCCACTATGTATAAGTAAAATGTGACCTTAGAAAAAGAACATTGGTGACAATGCTACTTTCTGAATTTGTTAACATACAAAATTCAAGCATTTGAGGAGAGTTTGAGATGAAAATGAACCCATCTGTTCTAATTTCAAGATGTTATGTAGCTAGGTTCTAAGTAACTTCACTCATGTCACAAAACTAAAACTAGAACTTTTTCCATTCCATTATGATTTTTCTTTTACTTTCAGATGTAGTGGGTATATGACTTAATTTGTTTCACATTCATCCATTGCTGACTACCAACATTATCCAGGGCAGAAAAGCAGGTCCTCAAGCCTCTATTTCTTTACCATTATGTCAAATTGTTGATATAAGTATTGATCCTTTTCATTATCTGTAACTAGTGAAATGTGTTTAAAACTATGCTTCTAATTTTAGAATATTAGAATTAAAAAACCCACAGTAAAAGTTCGGCAGGTTAGGTCCCCCTGGGCAACACCAAAGAGAGGCTGCATGCTGACATATGCATAACCTCTAACACAGTGAACTCCTTTTCTCTGACATGCTTCTTAGGTGGTGTGTGATCTTTATTCTTCATATTTCATTTTCATTTACAGAAAGCAAGGCACAAAGCCGAAAGTGTGGATTTGTGTGGTGCACAAATAGAATGGGCCAAGGAAAAATCGAGCAGAAAGAGTGTCTTTCAGGTAGGAATGGCACATGTACTCAATTTATTCCTGTTTCCTCTAAACTGGAGCTCTCTTGGGTAATCAGAATAAGACTACCTTTCTGTGGTATCTTCAATGTGAATGAACTATTTGTCTGAAGGTCATTATGAAAGGCTGACTCTGGCTCTTCTTCCTTGTGGATCCGAAGGTTTATTTTGTGTTTTCCCCTGATGACTGGTTACTATCTAAACAACAACAACAAAAACAGATGCTCCATGTTGATTATTTATAACAATGTCATTGAATTTTGTGGTGTATTTGATAGCTGTTTAGGGTGCCAACCTGGAACACTTTACTTAAATGTATGTGATGCACACTTTCAAACATACAGAAATTACAATTCACTAATTATAAGTTATCTCATTCATTGCCATCCCTGTCTTCCAGTCATTAACAACATTTACCAGTGGAAGTAAGGGAGAGCAGAGTAGCCTGATGGTGACAGCAAGGGCATATGTAAGAGAGGTGGGAGAGTAATCCCAATGCATAATATGCATGTAAGAATTATCAAAGTACAAATTTAATTGTAAATAATTTTAAATTGGATCCTATTATATTAAATGTTTCACTTTGATAGGAAAAATTGCTATGATTGATTAACATTGATAATCATATTCCACTGAGTGCAAAATAAACCACAAAATCCTTGAATGACCAGAAACTAGAAACTTTGGAACTTCATACATGATATTACCAAACCATTATTTGACATGATTTTTCTTTAATAATTAATTCAGATTATTAGTTTTTCTATTTTAGGTGGAATACAAAATCTGCATCTTCAATTTTTTATTGTAGAATTATTCCATTTATGGGTGAAGGAAGCAGACTCATACTTATTTACTAATATTAAATATTTTCTGCAGCAATTTTACTTTTGAAGTAAAAGGCAGTTATTATGTAATTAAGTACATTGATAAAATTGGTATAGGGACTTACAGTTGCATAGGTGGGTGGCATTTTCCGTTTCTACTTCCCACATGTTCACTTCCTGTGTGTCCAGTATGGGCTACATCCTCCAGAAATTTATTCAGATATACTAAAATATTCCGATTTAAGAAGAAATAGCAAACTGCACATGTCCTAGAATAAATTATCTTTCTGTTTCTAGTTTTACTCTACTTAAATATAGAGATGTTTTCAACCAAAAATTAAGTGAAAGGATAGATATAATTATCATCTGTCAACTAAAAATAAAATTTTAAAAAAGAAAGAGGAAGGAAGGAAGGAAGGAGGCAGGCAGGCAGGAAGGCGCATGTAGATAGCGGTGATCTCAAACCAAATGGCAGTGAATTTAGAGAATCAAGGTATAAATAATGAAATGAACTTTGTTTGAGACTGAGAAGGTAAGGATCAGTAAAAATACCCTCTCCTCTAATTCCTTTCTCTTGGTGTTATTCTGATACCACTAATAGAGTGTAAAGTCATAATTCTGGTAGCTGACAATCTGTGACAGGAATTCTCAGCACATGGGTCATGACCCCGTGAGAAACCTCTACCTCCCAAAAATATTTACATTATGATTCATAACAGTAGCAAAGTACAGCTACAAAGTAATAATGAAAAATCATTCTATGCTTGGGGGGTCACCATAATATGAGGAACTGTATTAAAAGGTCAGAGTGTTAGGAAGGTTGAGAACTGCTGATCAAGGATGTGCTCAGATAAGCTAAATGTTGCAGGCTTACATGTGTTGTGGGTCCCCAATTAATAAAGTTGTAAAAGAAGATTGTGTTCAATTTTAAGTAAACAATGCTTGTACAGTGGAACATTTCTTAGATTTTTTTGATGCCAGTCTTTCTACATGTATCTCTATAAGGTTTCAACTAGAGCAAAAATGAGTCAGCTGTCAACTCTGTGTGATACAAAAATGATGACATATATCATCCTTAGCTTTTTGAAATATTGTTAAGGTTCATTCTTTTATGATTTCCACTTGATATATATATATATATTTCTGAATACAGGTTCTTCCGATGACACTGAAGTTTCTTTCCCCTTTTACAAATTTAGTGCTTGAAAATTCTTGTCATCTATTTTTGCTTGTAATGTAATTGAACAATTCATAGGGCCTTGAGCCTTCGATATTTAGACAGATGATTGGCAAGTGGGTACATATGCAGATAGATAGCATGATAGATGAGTGTATAGGTAGATGGTATATGGATGAAAGGTGAATACATCCTTGATAGTCTTATAGAGAGAATTAAAAAGTTATTATAGAGATATTGTGAATACCAAAGTTTTTTTTGTTTTTACGAGACAGGGTTTCTCTGTATTGTTTTTGAGGCTCTTGGTCCAGCCCAGCCTCAAACTCACAGAGATCCACCTGTCTCTGCCTCCCAAGTGCTGGGATTAAAGGCGTGCACCACCACCGCCTGGCTGTGAATACCAAAGTTAAAGGACAATTATGGTATCATTTTTTTTCTGCTCATTCATTTTGGAAAAGTCATTTGACTTGCCATGACCTTAGGTAAAATTTATTAATATGCACCCACAGAGTAGACCGGAATAGTCAACTCTTTGAGTAAAATAACAAGTTACTTTTATAGTTCTGTTAACAAAAAATGCATTGGGAAGAATTTGCCAGACAACTAAGTCCAGATGACATGTATCAATATTTGATTAGATACATTAGTGGGCTAACTCTCAACTGATCAGAATAAACATGATTATAGCTCAAAAATACAGTATTAAGTCATGGAAGGTTGTCTTAGTGTGTGAGGGTCTCTTTACCTACTGAATAATGAAACGTTTCTTCCTGACTGAAAAAGACCCTTCTAACTTTAGCTGAGGTACCACATCAAAAATAGTTTTAGGATTCCAAGTTTGATTAGCTTGGATATTCAATCTCAGCCTATGAATTATAGATTACAGTCAGCAAATGACTATTGAGATTTTTAGTTCCACAAGAATCAAAGAAGAGCAAAATTAGAAATAATTTAAAATTTGATATCTGTCTTTAAAGAGTTGAAGGATTGGCAATTATATACCACATAATTGCCATGTCTACAGAGAAGTAAAACTTGAAATGAATAGGAAAACAAACAAAAAATTGGGAGTGCCTGAGATATGCTGAAAGCACATATTTTTATACAAAAAAATGGAATATTTTTCATTCACTGTTTGTAAATTTTAGACATCTGACTTGTTCATTTTCTGTATTTAACAAAATTCAAGTTTTATTTACAGTCAAATTTCCATGAAACTCAGTGTGGATTCCATCTTCTTCTAATGGTACATGCAAATGTCATGATGACAAAATTATAACTTTGGTATGTAATAACTCTTAATAAATCAAAATGATATTCACTTTCTGAGACCAGGAACCTCTGCCTGTTTTGGAACCTGAATCTATGTGCTTACTTTTGTCTGATAGGCATTGTTCAATAGCAAGTAACTTTTTAAAAAGTGGTGTTCTCTTTCATAATGCATTATCTATGACATGTGTCCAAGAGTGTATAAAGACATCTTTAAAGAAAATAATTAGGTGAACATTGATACTGAATTACTTGTTCTTAACAAATGCAGTGAGCATTTACACACACACACACCACACACACACACAGATTTGTGCTTATGAAAGGGCCATATAGATTCTAAAGGTAATTAGTGAGTGTTCATTGCTCTGACTTTTGTTTAATTTTGCAGAAAGGATGAAATCATGGAACATCACAATTTTGATGTAGCTTGAGAAAATATTTAGCCCATGAGTAATTTGGGATGAACTTTGGGCAAGTTTTCTTAGTTAACTAAAAGCAATGCCAGGTCTTCATCAGAGAAAGCCTGGGCAAAACGATTTATGCGCAAATCACATGTTTTAAACATTTCTGCTAAGTGCTGGTTTGCTCTTTTGTGTTTAGCCTGAAATTTAAAGCACTAAGGATTAAAAGGATTACAACATAATCTTAAATAATCCCAAATGTCATTTACAGAGAGATAGTTGTAATAACTAAACAAAACTCCACTAAAGGGTGGCAGTACTGTAAGACAGCATCCAAAGCATAAGGGGAGCTAGCATCTTCTCTTTCCTCCCTGGCCACAGTAGGCCTTTACACTGCCTTGCATCAGGAAGTTAAACTGGTAACACAGTTGTGAAATCAGTTGCGAAACACAAAGTTTGAGGGAAGCTTCAAAAAAATCTTCTTGTTTCAAAATTGAAGGGAAATCTTCATTTAGGGTCTTTTTCTTCGTTTGTGCTTGAGGTAGCCTGGAAAACGTATTTGAAAGTTTAGGGTGGGAATTGATGACATGCTTTTTTTTTCTTGTTTTTTCCTCATTAGGAGGGAAGATGGTAACTAATTATTTAAGATATTGAATCCTCTGTCCTCTGCAGACATATTTTCCTCAGGCCTAATGCGGCTGAATAAGTCTTGGTGTCTTATAAACAACTTTTATAAAATTTTTTCTTTTGAATTTATTGGCTTTCTGTAGATTATGCATGTTAAGTTTTAAAATTCTACCATGAGTAGAACTATGTCAGCTGTCTCTCTGTGAGACAGAAAACATGGAGATGACTTAAGGAGATGAACGTTCAATTTATCTCCATCAACAGTTTAGAACATAAATACTGTGTTCAAATGTCTAGGATTTGACATTGTCTCTTTAATACAGAAACACATCTGCAGAGAGGGACCCTGTTCCCTACAAGGAAAGTAAAGTTGGAGTAGGTTTAGCATTTAACTACTCAAGTTACTTTTCTGATTCTGGGTAAAATCCTCTGGCTATGCCATACATTAAATATATTCATGTAATGTGTTTCCATGGATATGCATTATAACTAAACATAATTTGATTGCTCATCCTGATCTGACATGTCTTAGCTTAACATATTTTAGTACTACTTAAGTTTATTAACGCAGACATAATTTAATAACCTGTTGGAAAAAGCTACTTTAAGCCAAAAGGAAAACTACTGCTATTTCACTTTTACACATTTATTGTGTCAAGAGTGGCAGTTTAGAATAAATCTGAGCTTT